TACGACTACGACTAGGACTAGGACTAGGACTACGACTACGACTACTACTACTACTACTACTACTACTGCTACTACTGCTACTGCTACTGCTACTACTACTACTACTACTACTACTACTACTACGACAACTACTAGTACTTCTACTTCGTGTGACCACGATCCGTGAGGCAAGACTGAATCTAAAGTGGCGACAGGTGGATGCAATTTCTGTGAGACCTTGCTTAGAGCCCCACTCCGTTTTGGACCCTGATGTTCAGGAGCTAGCATTGCTGGTTAGCCGGCTCGCAGCATTTGCACCGCCGGCACTGCCCGTCTCCACGGCCCAGTTGCTCCTTGACCCTGATGTCGGATTGTCTTGTAGAGGCTGTCGTCGGAGGACAGGCGAAGGAGAGAGAGAGAGAGAGAGAGCCAATTCGCGAGATAATGAGGAAGGCTATGCACGCTACGGACTTTTGAAGGCGAGAGGTGCGGGGCTTTCGATTGTTGACCAGCCAAATGTGGTTTCGGCAAGTTGAGGTTATATTGGTCATAATGCTGACATCATAGCTGCCAGGTGCGTGAAAAAACGCCAGGGGTTTTAGGAAGAACAACTCTCCCGCCTCGCAGTGTACGAACTCATACGCCAAGCCCACATGCCAGACCGAAAACCACTGAAGCCGGCCGGTGGTAAGGCGTGGTGTTGGAGTAGCACATCTTGTGCTATGTCTCTGAACTTCTCGGCAGGTTGACATTATGTCCTCAGGCTGTTCAGTGGCGTCACAACGGCTGTACATGGACCTGGCTATAACACGCATTTTCATATGTTTTGGCCCTTGTTGAGTTACGTTTATGCCGCCGCAAACAGTCAGCACGACAAGCCTTTCTGTAGGCTTTTATCACTTTGGTGGTGCACAAACAGTCACAAGCTTCCAGACATGTGACCCTAAACCCTAAACTGAAATCTCGGACGCCTTCATCCATGCCTGCTTTGCGAGTGTGTGAGTCGAAACGTCAGTTTGCAGAGGTTCGAGCAGCTGGTGTTCAGCCTCGTGTCTCTTGGCTTTATTATGTCACTGGTGACAGTTGAGGCACAGTTTCTGCCTGCTGAAGTTTTCGCCGTCGATTGAGAAAAGGTTGCAATGCTTCAATCAACAAGCGACTATGCTGAGGAAGCAAGACTTCCGTGCAATGTTGCACCCGTAGCAGTGCCATATCCTTTGAGCGAGAAGCCTACCTGACTCTGCGCTTCAGTTCACAGACACGTGCCTGCTATATGTTGTCAGCACGGAATGGTGGTCCATGTAAAAATTCCGTCCAGAATAGTGCTACACGCTCCCGGAGCGAAGTCATCGCTGCTTCCAGGCTTGCTCGCGACGCAGCCTGGACTACCGAAACCAAGCCACGTCATTAAACCCAAGCATTCAAATTCAAAGCCTCTCACTTCGAAAGCACACAGATGCCAGGAGGCCCAGACTAAACAGAGCCGGTCGACAACCTTTTACGAAGAGTTAGCAGGAATGGTCAAGCAAGGAATTCTCCTGCAGGATGATATTGAGCTCCTGTAGAAGACCGACCGTCTTGCGCACGGCCTTTGATGACTCCCCATTAACCCCCAAACATCCCTTGTAACCCTTAGATCCAAATCGCTAAGCTCGTAGCTTCTTTCGCCCTTGAGGACACAACGCAATGCGATGCTCCGCCTCAGGGGATTTCGCTTCCTCGGCGAGCTCCCCTCCAGCGAAGGCACTCTCGGGTCCTTGCGCAGTTTAGGGCTTAAGGATTGAGGGGTTCAGGCTTTAGAGGTTCGGCCTTAGGGTTTGTAGGGTTCGGGGTTTATGGCCTGAGCACTGGAGTCCGGAAGGAAGGAAAAGCATTGGATCACGCCGTTACAAAGCCCCAGGAACAGTATGGGGGGCATTAACTATTACCTATACTATTCTGGTGGCTCCTTAATTATAGTTATGATATACCCCAAAAAACCGTAATTATTGAAATCGTTAAGGTCCCTACATTAAGCGTTTGAGGCCGGAAGGTTGATTTGGGAAAAAGACTTGGGGCGCCACAACTGCTTCCAAGCGTTTGGGCTCACTGCTTCCGAGCATAAACCATGAACCCATATACTCTGAACCCTAAGCCCGAATCAGCTAAGGGCATGAAAGCGAAGGCAAAGATCTGGTGTGAATCTTGAGCATCACCACTGCGGCTCAATGTAGTCCTTTCCTTTGCTCGTCTCAATTTTCCGATTTGCGAGAGTCCAAACCCAAAGCATCCCGAAACATCCCTCAATTTCTTTCAGTTTCAATTCCAACCTTTTCGTAGTGATTCTGATGAGGCCGGAACGTGGGGGTTTATCTTATTCAGGTCAATGCTTGGGACAGAGCTTGGGGTGTAGATTTGTTAGGGCTTGGGGTTTGGAGGGGTCCTCTGGATAGTTTGCAGGTTGCGGTTCGCACCCTGGCGACTCTACTTCGTCATGTTGAGACATGTCATGCGAAGTTTAATCTGGTAGGTAGTCCGCTTTTTCTGATGTTTTGCTTTGGTTCAGTGATATCAAGGCAAGTCTGTTACCGGCTGTGAAGCATCAGGCCTCATCTGGATTGTATACGAGTAGTCTGTGCGTAAACTTGCTCGAAACCCGAACACACACTCTAAAAAGCCTATACCCCAAACCCGAACCTCGAATTGCGACGCATGAAGACAGGAGGTGGAGGCCATCCCTTCTCGGCAGATTGGTGCGATCGGTGCCTCGGGCTTGTTTGGGCTGAGGTTTTCAGACTGCAGCTTTGAGAGTATAGAGTTCAAATGGAAAGTCAGTACTGAAATTCTGACATCCAAAGCCGCGATTCTGGAACTCGGTTCGTCTTGCAGGTAGATATATATGGCTGAACTCTCCAAAAGAACTTCCGTGCAAAAGGTTGCAAAAGAGTGTGATCTTCATCTGTCGCTAACCGTTGCTTACCACTTGTTCTGCAAATATCCATCAGGCCTAGAAGTAACCCTTACAACTTACACTATGCCTGTAGTACCCTGGTCCCGCTGGTGTAGGGGTTTTTTTACCTACTAAGTTAATATATCAGCAGGTCGGAAAAAGGGCAACCAAAAAAAACTCCAACCCCTAAACCCCTGGGTATTTTTGAGTTCAGGTTGTTCGTCTGTGGGCTGAGCCGCTGGCAACGACGGTCTAGATGAGCATCGTTTGTTGCAGTGTGTGTTTTTCGTTCTACCGTACCTAACTCTGATGGAGGCTCGTAGCGGCACTGCCGTGCAAATCGTTCGTCATGCGTGGGCATAGGGGCGAAAGACTGATCGAACCATCTAGTAGCTGGAGTTTCCCTCAGGATGGCTAGAGTCTGGCAGCAATAGTTGAACAGTTTTATTAGGTAAAGCGAATGATGAGAAGAATCAGGGACGCGCTGTCTTGGACCTATTCTCAAACTGTAATTACATTAGGTAAGATCCACAACGGTTATTTAATTGAACTTCTGGTGGGATAAATGAAAAACTTTAAGTGGGCCGTGTTTGGTAAGCAGAACTGGCGATAAGGGATGAACCTAACGCCCTAACCCCTGAAGCCCTATAAACCGTAACCCCAGGCTGGTCCGACACGTGGGTCTCTCGTGCACCGCCCCAGCTGAGTCGAACTCCTCGGTGAGGGCAGCTGCTGTCAGTGCCGGCTGCGGCAATTTAGGGGCTTCGGATGTTTGGTGTGGAATGCTGAAAGGGCATATGCCGGAACCGCGCTACTCAGTCTATACACTATACATCCTCGGATCCTGCAGACGGGCGGGGGCAATGACAATATGGAACAGAAACCACGCAAATAAAGGTGCCTTGCAGACAGTTCTGCGCAATGCTGCGGCATGCGATGGGATGCTGAGGCACGGTCAGCCGCCGTACATACACCTCTGTTTGCCTTTCCTCGCAAGTCGTTGTTGAGTTCGTTTGAGATCACATTATGTCATAATGATTTGGGTGCCATGTCTCTTCCCGCCGCCTTGCCACAGCCACCGTGGTGCAAGTCTGGGAACCGTTTGAATTGTTGGTCCTTTCATCCGTCCCAGCCAGATGTGCCACGCCGCCGTTTCGCAAGTCAGCATAAAGTGCATGGTGATGGTGTGGGTTTCATGGCGTTGCGGAGTTGAGGGGTGATAGTGACTAGGATTCATAGCGATGAGTATGATAAGAAGAGGACGAGAAGCATCACTATCACTCATGATGCAGGATTTGCCCATATTGACATATTGCCCCCACCTTTTTTCATGCTGACAGGATTGTTACTCATTTTCAGGTTCCACCACCGCCGTCGTCACCGCAGCACCAGCACCGGCACTAGGACCAGCGCCACCAACACTGCTTTGCTGCTGCTACTGCTACAACCACGAATGCGACAGCCTACTGCTGCTGCTGCTGCTCCTGCTCCCGCTCCGGCTCCTCCTGCTCCTGCTCCTGATTGATGCTCCTGCTACAGCTCCTGTGCCCGCCCCTGATGCTACTACTATTGCTACTGCTACTGCTGCTACTACAAACATTAATGAAGAATAGTAGCGTAGCTTGGCAGGCAATGTAAACACTAGCTACTGCTGTGATGTGGCTACGAAAACGGTCGCCTTCCCGACTAAACACAGCAGGGGATCCGATACCAGAGGATCTGTTCATCGGCAGTCCGAAACCGATTTCCTGCTGCGAGAGGCAGGAAGCAATGCAATCGAGCGAAACATGGTCCTATGTGGGGTGAGAGCGCAGAAGCCCCAGGCGACAGGAAACCTGAAGAACTCAATGTCCTGTCAGTCCAGGCCTGTCTTGTTTCGGTGATAAATCCACCCGAAAGGCCTGCTCTGCTCACCAGTGCAATGATGTCGCTGCGGCTGGGCCTCGGCGATGCCTGGCCAGTATTGATTCGGAGTTTTCGGGGAGGAGGGGGGGGGGGGAATTCAGAGCTTCGTGAACTTTTGTTATGTGATTCAAATGGCTGCCGATCAACAGCTCCCTAAACCCCAAACCTGAAGGCCTAAGCTTCCCACTGGGTTGAGCTAAGAGGTTGTCGCAAGTGCAGCAGTTGATATCGAAGCCGGATTGCGGCGGAGCATCTTGCACTCACGTTTTTGTTTTCTGTTGTTCAGGGTCTAGACTCTAGGGTTTCGGGTTTGGGGTCTTGCTTCCGGGTTGAAGAGATCAGCAGTGAAGCCCGGAGCATGCATGCTCACAGGTCACAGCTCAGCTGTGAGCGAAGGCAGGAGGCCAGCCTTCGCTCTGCGAGATAATCCGCCCAAAATCCTTTCAAGTTTAGAGGTCAGCACAATCAGGAACAACATCTCCATAAGGCGCTAAATATTTCTACAAATTCGGCAAACACCCCGCCGCTCTTTGCGACCCTTCGGGTTCCCACCGGCAAGGTACGAGTAATTACCTAATGCAGGGATCCATATAAACAAGGATGCTAAGCCATAATCTGTCTGTGTCACTCCGACCTGCGACCATTTGAGACCATTAAACCTCGCCTGGCTTGTCCGAGTTGTGAGAGCGTAAACCCGAATGTGTTTTTAGTACATTGCAATCTACCCATACAATGTGTTCGAACGCGCCCTTCGTGTGATGTCTGCTTATATACTTGTGTCATAGTATCTGTAGCGTTTTTTTGGTTTCTTGGGCAGCGTACAATCAGTTCAGGTCATATGTTACGGGTCTATCCGGAGTGGATTTCACCAGGAATCTTGACGATTCCAAGGATTGGTCTATGCTTCCCTGCTCTGTCCTCGGGGCAACATCAATTCTATTTAGTGGTCCCTGATGCTACGCCTGAGGTCCAAATAATTAGGTTGATGATGGATAAATGGATCTTGGGTGTAAATGGGGAGCTGTTTCTTTAGCAGGTTGAGATTTCCCTGGGATGTGTTTCTTGATGAGAACCCGCGCATTGAAGGCAAGTTTCACTTCAGTCAGACCTCGAACCACATGCCTCGGCTGGAGTGTCCGAGCGTGAGCGGCGAAACCCGTAATTTCGATGCTCTCTACGTTACCAGGGTCACTCCTATCTGACACTGCTGCAACCCCATTGGACAGCAAAGGATGCCAATGCTTCGGTGCGGACATCTGCTGTCCAGGCCAGGGGATCCTTGCTATACATATGGCCCTGAACCCTAAACCCTAAACTCCACACTATAAGGCTTATTACGTTCACTAACTTCAGGTGCCCTTGTATCATTTCAAGACATGCCTGGGGTCCTCCGTCAGGTGTTGTGGGACCTGAGCTTTAGTTTCTGGACTTTGGCATTCTGCAGGTCCCCTTTCGGAGCATCTCGCATCAGCAGCAAGGCATCTCCGCAGCCAGGGAAGATTATCCCTTTACATCTTCTATTGTCATCAGGAGTCTGAGTGAATATTCATATTACAGCTGATATTACTGTTATTTTTGATGAATAGATGACGTACTGCTTCGCAACGACAAAGCAGGCCCCACGACACATCTTGCATCAGAACATACCCCAAAACTTCAAGTATACAACGCATGCCAACCTAGGACTCCAAAGGCTTTTAAGTCTGGACCCTAATTTATGTTATATTCTATCACATCATGTCATATTACATTACATCATGGCATCGGTTTATATATATATATACATACTATATATACGTGTATATATATATACAGAGAGAGAGAGAGAATTCCTATGTATGTATGTATGTATGTATGTATGGTATGGTATGGTATGGTATGGTATGGTATGGTATGGTATGGTATGGTATGGTATGGTATGTATGTATGTATGTATTTATGTATGTATGTATGTATGTATGTATGTATGTATACATCTCTCGCACAATGCTTTATGGCCCTGAGCTCTGAATCCTATAGGCACTGGTTTTGCCTCCTACGTCGTCCGAGAGAGGATGATCTTTGCTGAGCTAACCACCCTGGCGTAGGAGGCAAAGATGCTCCCTCCAGGAATCCCGAAACCCTAAAATCCTAAACCCTAAAACCCTAAACCCCAAGCCCTATAAACCCTAAACCCTCAAACCCCTTTAAAAACCCCAAACCCCAGGGTGGGAGCCTCAAGGAGAGTCTTCTTCTCACCTTGGGCCAGGCCTTGGCTGCGCTGGCACCGCATCTTCCCCAGGTTCGCTGTCGAAGGGTTTAGGGGTCTGACTTTCGGGATTTAGGGCCTGCCATGGCTTGGCTTAGGGTTTTTTCTATTGCAGTATGGCATGCGCCTTTTATTGAGGGTCTAGGACTTGATTTGGGGTTGCGGTGGTTTTGGGGCTCAGTTTTTTGATTGGGCCTGGCAATTCGGAACATCACCTGCCGGGTCCTGGGGGCTGGGTCTCGCTACCGCATCAGACGGTAGGTGTATCTCTGACTGCGGTGTTGGTGAGCATTCAAACACTTGAATCGAGTATCGTCAGCATGGCGTGCAAAACGGCTAGGAACAGCATGCGAGCTGTTCGCTGCAGTGCATTTCTTAATGGCAACCTTCCAAACCACGTGGTTCCCATCAGGGATCCACCCAGTTGCGCCGCAAACGGTTCTGATCAAAAATGAGCATTCCTGCATGATTTCGTGATTGCAACTGTCACACCACGGACGCTACTCAAAACTCTGTGCCCGAGTTGCGAGCGCCGAAATCCGAACAGGAGCACCCGAATGGCTTCTTGACTTTCTGGGACATAGCATCATGACAGGTGGAAGGAACACGTTGATGGTTCAGGGGCCGTGCTCATAAAGTGACAAACAACTCCAAAACCCGCAAGCCACAAAACGCAATCACAAAGTCGACCCATTGCTCTTTCGGATGCCTCTTATCACCTTAAACCCCAAAGCCTAAGCCCCATTAAAGCAGCACCGAGGCATCCTCCGAGATGCTTGACTAATTTGCTTTAGCTCTTTACTCCGTTAAGCGTGATCCAGCTTGGCAGGTTGCGTTTCCCAGGGTTCCAGCTTTCTCAGGGCATGTAGGGCACAGGGGGTTGTATTCACGATATTGGCTATCTGCCTTGAGAAGGCCTGAAGGTTTGATCCTTGAAAGCGCATCATCTGTTCAGGAGACTATGATCCGATGTGCAAGGCCGACTGTAATTAGTGTCTATGGCAGCCATGCTGCTCAGGTTTAGAACGCGTTGTTTGTAATTCAGGTCATCGGACGAAGGCAGCGAGGTGGTTCTGCTTGTGCTCCATTTGGCCAGCGACGCGGCTGGCGATGCCACTCGGTTCAGGCTTAGGTTGTTCTGCTGTATTGCTCTTGCTGAGCTGCTCATCATGCTAGACTCTGCTCGACGTTTGAGTTCTATGTAATCAAATTCCTCCGTAGACAAGGTACTGAGCTCACAATTGGTGAACCTTGCTCTTCACTGCTAGTCGCACTACGTTCCAAGAAGACCACTCGATTCCAATCCGGAAATCGCTCAGTGGAGTCATTTGATAAGGGAACGCCTGATTCTCACACACCAGGTGCGATCGGCTGCAGCAGCTGCACTTGCCAGTTTTGCGGGTGCTGTCCGGAGCCGACGTGAAGGCCTGCAGAGCATTGAATTATCCCAAAGGATAGAACCTGATATAAATGGCGTTTAGCATATTATACGATATGTTCTGTATTATGTGTTTGTCAGGCCAAGTCAGACTGACCATTTGACCTCGGGCCTTTCGGAGATGATTCACATTATCTAGGATCAACAACGGTTCAACGAGCAACCCGACACGGAAGTGTCAAGGTAACAAGAATGATACTGAAAGTTATGAGCCAGCCAGATAGTCGGAAAGCGAGACGGATACCTTGCAACACAGACAAAGACAAGGGAAGGCAACAAGAAACGGGCAAAGACAACCGACCCCTACGCCCTGCAGAAAGAAAGANNAGAGAGAGAGCGAGATAGAGAGATAGACACGCTGTGTCCAGTCAGATCGAGGGGGTTTAGCATAAGCTCGTTGTCCCCAGTGGAGTTCAAGATCAGGTTTCTTTGCGAGGTCCGGGAGACCCTGCGATGTGAAGGGATACCTGAAAAGTTTGTCGCTTCTTGCTGCCGAAGTCAGCGCCTCTAACTAGCCTGTGCAAGGCTAAGGTGTTCGCCCGACAGTTCGCACAGCCTAGTTTCTGGATTGAGATTTCGTCCGCGCACATGCATAGATCTCGCGACGACACAAGCGGAATCGAATCGTGAGGGCGGGGATGGAGCGGCACGCTCTGTCAGACTGGAGGTTTGCAGCAACTACTCTCAAGTAGCTGTTTGGTCCGATTCAAAGCGGGTTGTCATTCCAGTTCCCTGCAAGCAGCACAGGGTACTGAGAAATCACACATGCAGCATGTACAAGACGAAGGTCTGATTCACGAGCTCTTAAGCTTTTCCAGCAGACGTTTTGCTTCTCGGGGGGCTGCCTGCCCGTAAGCTTCCACCGCCCTCCGCACGCGTGTTGCTCGCAGGTTGGAGGGTGGGTTGAGAAACCATCGCCACACCTTTCTTCTAGGCATCAGCCATTGCTTGCATTGATCAGTGCCGCGACTCATAAATATCTCTGTGATGTCAGCGTCGCGAGCTGTTCCGTTGAGGATGTGTGCAATGTCCCGAAACCATCAAAACACAAGTCCACACAGCTCGCACAGGAACAGGTGGAGCGTCAGATCATGGTGCGCAAATGGTCAAGGCAGGAGTTTCTATGATCGAAGGTTTCCAGGCCAAGAGCCCCCGAAGTTCCTCGGATTCGGGGGGTTTTCGTTGTTGACCTTGAGCTTCTGCAGCTCATGGGCTCATCGGTTTGTGTTTGTGTTTGCTCGCTGCTGAAGGTTTTATTCGGGCTGTGATAGGGGTTGCGGTGGTGGTAAACCGGAAGTGGATGATGATTGAACATTTTAACATGGCTTTCCTAGAAGACGCCTCAGCTTTCCCTGCGCTGGAACCTGCACGGAGTAGGTGGCTGCTGCTGTGGCGAAGCTTTGCAGTGACACCTCGGACAAGGCCATTGCAGATGCCATCTTGCCAGTTGGAGTTGATAAGTTGAAGACAATTGCATGTAGCCGCAGGAGTGTGCTGTAGCCATCCGATCTTCGACATGTCCGTTGTCGGCACCGAAGCCCTAAACCCTAAGCTCCCTAAAGGAGCGAGTGTGTGAGTCGAAACTCCCTAAAGCAAGTTGCAGGGAAACTCAAGGCCCACGCGAGCCAGAAACCGGAGTATCCTCCGCCAGGTCCGTGCTTCGGCCCTCCGAGCCACTGGCGTAGTTGCTGAGAGCCTCTGCCGCGAGGTTTTAGGGTTTGGGGTTTAGGGGGTTTTTTGGGATTAGGAAAGAGGGCGAGGGTTGAGGACTTAGGCGATTGTGTCCAGGGTCGTCTCCAGGGATAGACCTGCAAGTTGTAAGATTTCACATTGTCTGGTCGTTTTCTATTCGCAAGCAGCAAATACCTGAAGCCATACTGCCACGTGAATTGGGTGATGACTGAGCTGGGACGAATATAGAAACCCTAAACCCTAAGCCCTAAACGAGCTAGTGAGCTTGTTTACACGTTGCTATAGTTGCACATCGGGTCCCATCCTGGCGATGCCAGACTTTCTTGTATATTATTTTATGTTCTCTATTCTATTCAATTCTATTCTATTCTATTCCATT